AAGGGAAGGGAAGGGAAGGGAAGGGGAAAGGGAAAAGGAAAGGGAAGGGAAGGAGGAGCTGCAGCTCCCGGAGCGTCGCCGGTGTGCGGGGCAGAGCCGGGATGTGCCAGGCTGGAGCAGCATCCCCTGGGCTGGGAAAAGATGGATTTGGGGTGGAAAAGGAACTTTTCGGGAAAACTCCCAACGTGAGATTGGCCACGAGAGGGCCCCCGTGGGAAGGGCTGGAGCGGGATGGGACAGCGGGAATGGGACAGCAGGGATGGGACACCCGGATGGGACAGCGGGGATGGGACAACAGGGATGGGACAGCGGGGATGGGACAATGGGATGGGACAGCGGGGATGGGACAATGGGATGGGACAGTGGGATGGGACACCCGGATGGGACAGCAGGAATGGGACAATGGGATGGGACAGCGGGAATGGGACAGTGGGGATGGGACAGGGAGATGGGACAGCAGGGATGGGGGCTCAGAGTTTCTCTGGAATTCGGGTGCTGGAGATCCTTTCCCTGGAGCTGCGGGCTCAGAGGACCCTTCCCTGCAATTGGGTGCTCAGAGGTCCCTCCTTTCCTGGATGTGGGGGCTCAGAGGTCCCTCCTTTCCTGGATTTGGGGGCTCAGAGTCCCTTTCCTGGATTTGGGGGCTCAGAGGTCCCTCCTTTCCTGGATTTGGGGGCTCAGAGTCCCTTTCCTGGATTTGGGGGCTCAGAGGTCCCTCCTTTCCTGGATTTGGGGGCTCAGAGGTCCCTCCTTTCCTGGATTTCGGGGCTCAGAAGTCCCTCCTTTCCTGGATTTGGGGGCTCAGAGGTCCCTCCTTTCCTGGATCTGGGGGCTCAGAGGTCCCTCCTTCCTGGATTTGGGGGCTCAGAGGTCCCTCCTCTCCTGGATTTGGGGGCTCAGAGGTCCCTCCTTTCCTGGATTTGGGGGCTCAGAGGTCCCTCCGTTCCCGGATTTGGGGGCTCAGAGGTCCCTCCTTTCCTGGATTTGGGGGCTCAGAGTCCCTTTCCTGGATTTGGGGGCTCAGAGGTCCCTCCTTTCCTGTGTTTGGGCTCTCGGAGGTGCCTTCTCCCGGCAGCCCCAGCCCTGCCTCTGCTCCAGGGATGGGGTTTTGGATCTCCCATCCCAAGAGCTGATCCCACCCATCGGGGGCTGCCCCACCGCCCTCCCCGCAGCCAGAGGAGATGAGTGACCTCCTGTGCCCCCCAAAACCCCTCTGGAAAAGCATCCCTCGGGTTTGGAGAGCTGGGAATCCGCTTGTGGGGATGGAGAGAGACCTGGAAGGCAGAGCCGGAGAGCGGAACGGGCGCCGCTCGCCTTTATCAGCCCCCGGCTGCTGGGGAAAAGCTCTTTACCCGCAGGGTTTGCTGGAAATTGGTTAAATTTGAATGGGAATAAATCGTTTAAAGGACAGAAAATGGGAGGGAGACGCTGCTCCCCCAAGGGAGTTTCCAGCTGTTGCATGAAGTGAATGAAATTTGGCTGGAAATAAACCCTGTTGAGTTCTGAGGGATCAGAGGGGCTGGGGGTGGCTGGGATGATTATTTTAATTCCTGATTGTGTCGAATTGGGCAGGGGAAATGTGGTCATGTTCAATAAAAAACTTCCCGATCAGATGCACAAAAATAGGGTGTGTTGAAGGCACAGAAAGAGTTTCAGGATGGAATCTTCTCCTCCTTCACGGGTCTGGGCAGAGAGCTGAGCAATAATCACGGACGTGAGAGTGCGTATTTAATTAACCTCATTAGCATATAGAAGATGTGGGTTTTAATATTTAAATAAACCTTAACGGGGCGAAAGTTCTTTTTTTATTTAGGTGATAACAGAGGGAAAGCTCTGCCTGCCCTCCCAGGGGACACTGGGACGGGATGGGTGCTTCGGGGACAGCCAGCATCGTTTGTCACAGGGACTGGAACCCGGGGCATCGACAGGAGCCAGACCTTCCCTGCGAGGAAGGTCCCTTCGATCTGCCCAGGGGACCGCGGTGACAAATCGGGCGCCGTGGGATGGCACAGAGGCAAAAGCGCGTCCCTGCGGAGAGCGGTGGCACCCGCGGCGGGGACACCGGCCCTTCTGAGTGTGACACAGTGAGTGCCACCTCTCTGCGGGGCAAGTGCGACAGGAGCAGAGCTGGTCACACCCCCAGGGACCGGGGATGAAGCTGAGGAGGAGGAGGAGGAGGAGGAGAAGGAGGCGGAGGAAGAAGAGGAGGAGGAGGAGGAGGCAGCGCTTCCCTGCCAAGGAGCGGCTCGAGATCCCGTTTCTCACCGGGGTGATGAGCGCAGCACCGGCCGCGGCCACGCTCGGTTTGCGGCGGGCTTGGCTGGTGGCAGCTGTCCCCTTTCAGGGCTTCTGTCCCCTTTCAGTGCTGCTGTCCCTTCCAGAGCTGCTGTCCCCTCCAGTGCTGCTGTCCCCTCCAGTGCTGCTGTCCCCTCCAGTGCTGCTGTCCCTTCCAGTTCTGCTGTCCCCTCCAGGGCTGCTGTCCCCCTCCAGGGCTGCTGTCCCTTCCAGAGCTGCTGTCCCCTCCAGAGCTGCTGTCCCCTCCAGAGCTGCTGTCCCTTCCAGAGCTGCTGTCCCCTCCAGTGCTGCTGTCCCCTCCAGAGCTGCTGTCCCCTCCAGGGCTGCTGTCCCCCCACCCGAATCTGCCACCTCCGGCCACCCTTTTCCAAGGAACTCTCCCTGCCGTGGGGGTCCTGCTGCCGCTGTGGGTGCAGGACCCCCGAGGGGCCCTGGAGCAGGGGAGGGCGCTCCTGGTGAAGGTTCTGGAGTCTCCACCTGCAGCCAGCGCCACCAAAGTCCCGTTCCCCGGGGATCGGCTCTGCCTCATCTCCGCTCTGCTCCATCTCCGCAGGGCCTGGCACGACCGGCGGGGTTTGGTCCCAGCGCTGGCGAGCGCTCGGCGTCCTCATCCTTCCTTCCTTCCTCGCCTCCGGAGCTGCGGAGCCGAGCCCTGCCCCGTCCCCCTCCCTGCCCCTCCTCGGCCGTGCCCGAGCTCCGGGCGGTGCCGCTGGAGCTGTCCCAGCTCGGGGACAGCTCGGGGTGGCTTTGGGGCAGCGCAGCCCCCAATCCCCTGCTCGGCGTTCCCCATCCCGCGCTGTCCCGGGCGCTGTTTTGTCCCAGCGCCGCTGCCAGGGGTTGATTGCCCTGGGATGAGGCCGAGCAGGTGCTGAGCCCTCCCCGCTCCCCTCGCCGCTGTCACCGCTGTCACCAGCGCTCCCCACACCGCGACAATGCCACCCCTGCGACCCCCGCGCCCGCTGTGCCCAGCTCTGCCCATCCCAGTCACCCCAGTCGGGCTGCCCCGCTCGCAATGGGTGAATCCTCCCCTCCACGGTGTCCTCCCGGTATCCCCCGCCCAGGGAGCCAAACTGGGGCTTTGTCCCCGGTCTCTGTGTCCCGGTGAGGGGTCCTGGCTGTCCCTGGTGCCACAGCCCCTGTCCCCAGCCCCGCAGCCCTGCAGCCGCATTCCAAGCCTGCAAAACTTACTGGAAATCCTGTGGATGCAAATCCTGGCCGCCGGTCTGTGCCAGGAACTCGAGCTGCAATCCCGAGAGGGCAGCAGGCTCCAAGCACAGAGGCCTCCCCCTCGCCATTCCCGGCCTCTGGAATCCTCTTCAAAGTCTCCTCAGGGCTGGGGACACGAGTGGCTCTGTGGGACCCCCAAAACCGGGCAGGTGTGGGGTAAAATCAGCAAATCCTGGGATGCCTTCCCAAAACCTCCGCCCATCTGACGGATGGGTTGGTGCCATGTTGATTCAGACTGCCTGGCTCCATCCCAAAACCTCCCAGCTCCCAGATCCATGGAGATTCCCAGGCTCTGGGCAGGGGACAAGGTGAGAATGGCACCTGCCCACCACGTGTGGTGACCCCCAGCCCCAGGAATACCCAACCAAGTCCCTCCCAGGTCACCTCAACCCTGCTCCCCCCGCAGCCCCGAGGTTTTAATCAATCCCAGGTGAAACCTAAACCTCCAGTGAGGGGAATGTGCTGCTCCAAAGGCAGCGGGATGAAGGTCAGGGTGCTCCTGCTGGAGCAGGGCCAGAGCAGCTGGGGATGCTCAGGGATGCACTTTTTGGGGGGGATGCAGGAGTTAGGGATGGATGGAGGAGAGAAATTCCTTTGGATTTCAGCATTTCAGCCTCCACGGCTCTTACCCCACCTGTGTGGAGTTTTTGTGGCGTCCTTGGGGGGGAATTTAACAGCACCGTTTCCTCCAAGTCAATAAAATTGTCTATTTATTGTGTGTGTGATTGCCCAGACCTCCCGAATCCCGCAGTGCTCACGAGGGCCCCGTGCTGCGCCAGGATCTCTGACTGCCACTAAATAATTCACTGCCCAAAGCCCTGAGCTCCATCCCTGCTCCAGGAGGAGCTGGAGGGGTGCAGTGGGGGCACTCAGACCCCCCAAAGGTGCGGGAGCACACGGAGCCGGCTGGGATCCAGCTTGGAAAGGGAATTCCCAGCCCCTGCCTCAGTTCCCCGCTGTGCTGGGGAGAGGTTGAGGTGGAAGAGCAAAGGGCGGAACTTAGGAAACACTTGGAGCCCGGCTCGAGGCTGAGTCTGTGAAGGATGGGAGGGGATGGGATGTCCCATGTCCTCTAGGGATGCCCCATCTCCTCCAGGGATGCCCCATCTCCTCCAGAGATGCCCCATCTCCTCTAAGGATGCCCCATTTCCTCCAGGGATGCCCCATTTCCTCCGGGTGTGTTCCATCTCCTCCAGGAATGCCCCATCTCCTCCAGGGATGCCCCATCTCTTCCAGAGATGCCTCATTTCCTCCAGGGATCCTCCATCTCCTCCAGGGATCCTCCATCTCCTCCGGGGATGTTCCATCTTCTCCAGAGATGCCCCATTTCCTCCAGGGATGCCCCATCTCCTCCAGAGGTGCTCCCCACCCTCTCTTTGGGGTGTGCTGTGGGATCCAGTTTGGGATGCAATTTGGGCTGCAGTTTAGGAGGCAGTGACGTGCTTTGGGACGCGATTCGATTTGGGCTGCGCTGCGGGATGAGGCTGGGACACGCTTTGGGATGCCGCTCGGTGCAGGGCGCAGTTTGGGATGAGCTGCGGGACGCGGGTTGGGATGCGGTGCCCCAGGACTCTGCCCGTCCCCAGCAGCGCCCCGCACACACCCGGGCGGTGACAGCCGCGCCCCCCCCGCCCCGCACGGCGCTTTCCCCGCCCGCCCCGTCCCGCGGAGCCCCGGGGGCGGGGGCCAGGTACGGCGGGGCGGGCCGGCCCGGCGGGGGAGGGCCCGCAGCCGGCGGCGGGCAGCTAAAGGCAGGTGGCGGCCCCGGGAGCGGCCCCGGGCTGGCTCGGGGGTCCCGCGGCGGCCGGGGCCATGCGGAGGGCGGCGGCCTGAGCGGGGCGGCCATGGCCGGGGCGGCGGCGGCGGGCGGGGAGCGGCGGGCGGCGCTGACGGCGGTGCGGACCGAGGGCTCGGAGGGGACCCCCGGCCCCCCCCCGCCGCCGCCGCCGCCCCCTCCCCGCCGCCGGGGGCTGCTGCTGGCGGGGCCGCGCCCCGGGGCCGCCCCCCGCCCCGCCGGGGCCCCGCGCTGCTGCCGCCGCCGCCTCCAGAACTGCCTGTACAACGTGCTGGAGCGGCCCCGCGGCTGGGCGTTCATCTACCACGTCTTCATGTGAGTACCGGGCACCGCGAGCGGGGCACGGGGACCCGGGGCTGCCCGGAGCACCGGGGGTACCGGGGGAGCCCCCCCCGGCTCCACCGGGAAGTTTCTCCGGTGCCGTTCCTGCCCCGGAGCCGCTCCCGGGTCGGTGGCGGAGGGTCCGGGGCGAGGAGCGGAGCGCGTCCCCGGGCATGGGACTCAACCTCCGGGGTGGCCCCGAGTCCATTCCCGGTGTCACCGTCCCGCTCTGCCGGGGTCTCTGGGCGTGTGGGGACCCTCAAAGGCGGGGGGTGACAGCTGTGGGTGGGCGCGGGGACACTCCGCTGTCCTGTACCTGTGGCACTGCTGGGACAAGGCACAAGTGCCACCCTTGGGCTGGGATGGCGACAGCGGGGGTGACCCTGTCCCTGCTGTACCCCGAGAGCTGCGCCCATTCCTGGCTCACCGTGGATCCCCAGCACTGGAAATGCCTCTCCATGGCCGGAGGGATGTTCCCGGGAGCGCACCTGCTCCTTTCCCTGCTCCGGGTGTTTTCCTAAGCTCTGCTCCAGCTTCCCTCGCTGGATCCGAGCATCCCGCGGCTCCTGGCGTGCGGGCTCAGCTCGGGGCTCAGAACAGCTTCACCCCTCGGGTTTGTTGCCTCGGAGGGGCTGTGACAGGGAGCTGGGGAGGTCCCCAACACACCTGGAGGCTGCAGGGACAGAGGGGGCTCCATTCTTGGGATTGTCCCAAGCCAGGAGCTGGGGACACTGCTGGGGACGCTGCCGGGACATCACAGCTGCAGGGGCAGGACGTGTTTCCCCTCTTTGCCTGGTGCGTTCCAGGTGTGGGCACGGACCTTCCGTGAGGGCACGAGGGAAGATTTTGCCTCTTTCCCTCTCACCTGGAGCGGTGCCGCGGGGCTGCGACGTTCCTGGGGTGCTGCGGGAGCCGGAGCTCGTTAAGAGGCAGGAAAATGGGTCTTGCCTAAGTTAGCACATCGAGCTGGCAGCAGGGATTTGTCACTGGAGGAAAGGGCACCTGGAGCTCCCCAGGGAGCCGGGACACGAGCCCGGGGCCCATTTGTAAACCGCACCTCCAGAGCGGGCTCCCAGCGCCAGAATCCCTGCGTGGAAAATCCCACCCTGGGAAGAGCTTTTCCAGCAGGGAAAGGCGGCCAAAGCCCCTGCCAGGGCAGGCGGTGGGGATGGATGGCACACACACACACACACCCATGGAAAGTGGAAGAGCCGTGCCCCTGCTCACCTCCCAGCTGGGACACCCACCCCTGAGCATCCTCCACCGCTTCGAGCCTGTTTTACCCCAAAAACAACAGCGTGGCACAAGCGGCCCCATTTGCAGAGCCCCCCCAGTCCCTCCCCTGCCACCCCAGCGTGCCTGGCCCCAGCTCCCGGGTGCTGGGCTTTGTTCCACAAGATGTGCAGCCGCCGGCAGCAGCAGCCAAACGTCTCCAGCCTCTGCTGGGGAGGCTTTTTGTTCACTTGCTCGCTTAATTTTAGGCAGCTGCAGGGCAGAGTCCTGCCAGGGACCCCCCGAATGCTGTGGGAAGACGCCGCGGTTGGTGCAAGGTGCAGACATCTGTTCTGTGAAGCCTCTCCCGTAATGTTGCTCATTTCTGGCTTCTTCCAAGTTTTTTTTGTTGGGTTTTTTTTTCTCTCTCTCTCTCTCTCGCAGCAGATGGGAGCTGCGAAGCTGTTGCAGCGGCTCTGAAGTTGTCGGGGGTGATTTGTGTGCCGCAATCCCTGGGTTTTAACAAAAGAGGAGGAAGGTGTTACCCCCTCCCCTTTTCCCCACCCCGAGGCACGGCAGGGGACGGAGCCCCCGGCCCGAGGTCGGGGCAGCGCTGGTGGCACAAACGGGTCCCCAGCGCTGCCTCCCCCGAGCGGGCTGGCTCCGAGACAGGGCTGAAAGCTGCAAAAATGGAAATACCCGCTGAGAAGTGACGCGCTTCCCTCCCCGGAGCGGGGCCGAGCCCATCGCGCTTATTGACCGACTTCAGCCTCTTTCTGTCTCGGCGAATTGATCCCAAATCTTATCCCAGCACCTGCTCTGGGCTCCGTTGGTTTGGTGACTGAATCATTTCTGCAGCAGCTCCTGGGGGCTGGGAGGGATTGGAGCCACTTTTGGGCTCTGATGTACGTCCCCAAAGCCCCCCATGCTCCGGGAGGGGGGTGGTGAGGACATGGGAGCCCGTGCAGGTGGAAATGCGAGCTCCGAGGTGTCCCCCAGCCCCTCCAGCCCTTCCAGCCCATGCAGGGAGGCGCTGCCCGGCCTCACCGAGCCTCGCCCGCTTGGAATGAGAACTCCCAGCCCTGGAGCTTACGGAGCAAATCCGGGAGGGAGCCCAGAGCATTAAGCCAGAGGCTTTAGAGCCAGGAGGCAAAATAAGAACTTCCTTTTTGCAATCTCCTCCTCGTTAGCGGGCGGGAAGGCTCTTCCCTGCTGCCGGCAAAGCTGCTGCGGGCTTGGCACGGGCACGGCTGCGTGCCCGTGGGCAGGGGCTGCCCTGCCAGGGGGTTTTTTGCACCTTGGAGCTGCTCCATGCGTTTTCCCAGGTGTCGAATTCCAGCTATTCCCGTTGTGGTTTGTCCCTGCCCACCCGCCAGGCTCCCGAATTCCCGGCGGCTCCCGGGGTCTGCTGGTGCCCATGGTTATGAAACGGCACCAGCAGCTGGGCTCAGCACTTTTGCCGGTCCTGGAGGAGCATTTCCGTGCAGAACAGTTTCACCTGGAGCAAATTAGGGAAGCCTGAGCCAGCAGCAAGCACCAGGAGCAGCCGCAATCCCCTGCCTGGAGCAGCGTCCCCTGTGCCAGGCCCAGCTCTCTGTGCTGCTCTTGGGGTTTATTTCCCATCTGGGAGAGGAATTTCCCTGATTCTTGGGGTTTATTTCCCTTCTGGGAGAGGAATTTCCCTGGTTCTTGGGGTTTATTTCCCTTCTGGGAGAGGAATTCCCCTGAAGGGATGGACAGGAGCCTTGTCCCTGCCGGGTATTTGGTGGCATTGTGGTGGCAGAGTCGCAGGGCAAGCCTGGCACGGGATGAGGGGTGCCAGGCACGGGCTGTCCCTGCTCAGGGTTGGCCTCCAGTGGGAAATCCCGGCTGGTTTGGGGCAGTGGCAGTGGGACGTGTCCCCCTGTGGCCAGGGAGCTGGGTGGTGGCAGTCTGTCCCTCCTGGAGCATCCCTGAGCTCCTGTTCCAGCCAGGGGTGGAGGGCAGGACAGGGCTGTCACCCCCGCCACTCCCCGACCGTGTCACATCCCTCCAGCACCGCTTGGAGAGCCAGAAAACCCCCACCAGTGCCACCATGGCCAGTGCCCAGCCCTTGCTAACACCCCCTGGGCAATTCCTAGGCCTGGAGGCCGGCCTGGATTGCAGGAAAATCCTTCCAGCCCTGCTCAGTGCTGACTCTCCACGCCTGCTTGGAAAAACCTCTTGAGTTTAACTCTTCAGCCTCGCTTAAACTCTTGAGTTTAACTCTTCAGCCTCTCTTAAACTCTTGAGTTTAACTCTTCAGCCTCTCTTAAACTCTTCAATTCAACTCTGACCCCTTCCCTTTTGAATTCAGCTCGTTGAAGGTTTTTACCTCGCCGTCGCCGGTGTGTCCCCCAGCTGGGTGGTGGCATGGCCACCAGAGGCACTCGGGCTGCTCCCTTCGAGCTGGGGCTGTGCCCCCAGGGCCACCTTGCCCGGGGCTGAAACGGGAGCTGCTCCAGGGGCAGCGCCAGCGGCAGGAGAAGCCGGCACAGCATTTTCCCCAGCCCCATGTGGTGTCACCGGGGCATAAAATTAAGCGACTTCGGCGCAACATGAAACGGTGCATTGATTTTTCCTTCTGGGTTTTTTCCTTTTTCCCCTCTTCCCTCTCCCTCTGGAGCCCCCAGACCAGTGCAGGAGGTGCCAGTTTGGCACCCCAGTGGGGTGCAGGGGTGATGCTGGAGAATTTTTGCTTCTTTGTCCCCCTCAGTTTGATCCCAAACCTCCCCTCCACTCTTTGGGGTCACTCGCACCCCCGTGCCCCAAATGTCCCCCCAGGTGCTGGCAGAGGGTGACAGCCCCGATCTCTCTCTCTGCTGGGGCGCCTCAGAAAACACTCTGGCTCCTTCCCCCCCCGCTCCAGCCCGTTCCTTGCCAGATGATCCAAGAGCAAAACTATCCCGGCTGCTCCGTGTGAGCGCCTTGGCACGGCCGCAGGAGCCTTGTGACCGGGCTGCCCGGCCGGTGCCGCCCGCCGCCCACGGGGTGCCCCCAGCGAGGTTCTCCTCCCAAAACACCGAGATTTGAGGGCCTGGGTGCTCTGTGGGGCGTGAGCCTCTGGCTGCTGCCATGGGGTGGGGGAAAGGCTTCGCATCCTGGCTTTGCTGCCTCCCTTCCCCAGGCTGCTGGGTACATCCCGAGCTGAGGGGGGCTCTGAGAGCAGCACCCTCCTGATAACAGCTCTGATAACATCTGAGGGGACATCCCGAGCTGAGGGGGGGCTCTGGGAGCAGCAGCCTCCTGATAACAGCGCTGATAACATCTGGGGGGACATCCCGAGCTGAGGGGGGGCTCTGGGAGCAGCAGCCTCCTGATAACAGCTGTGATAACATCTGGGGAGACATCTTGTGCTGCTTCTGTGCTGGAGCTGAGGGGCCCTGAGAGCAGCACCCTCCTGATAACAGCTCTGATAACATCTGGGGGGACATCCCGAGCTGAGGGGGGCTCTGAGGGGCCCTGAGAGCATCACCTCCCTGATAACAGCTCTGATAACATCTGGGGGGACATCCCGTGCTGAGGGGGGGGCCTGAGAGCAGCAGCCTCCTGATAACAGCTCTGATAACATCTGAGGGGACATCCCGAGCTGAGGGGGGGCTCTGAGGGGCCCTGAGAGCATCACCTCCCTGATAACAGCTCTGATAACATCTGAGGGGACATCCCGAGCTGAGGGGGGCCCTGAGAGCAGCAGCCTCCTGATAACAGCTCTGATAACATCCCGTGCTGCCTCTTCCCTGGGGTTCTGGGAGCAGCAGCCTCCTGATAACAGCTCTGATAACATCTGAGGGGACATCCCGAGCTGAGGGGGGGCTCTGAGGGGCCCTGAGAGCATCACCTCCCTGATAACAGCTCTGATAACACCTCGGGGGACATCTTGTGCTGCTTCTGTGCTGGAGCTGTGGGGCTCTGGGAACAGCACCCTCCTGATAACAGCTCTGATAACATCTCGGGGGACATCCCGAGCTGCCTCTCCGCTGGGGCTGAGGGGCCCTGAGAGCAGCACCCTCCTGATAACAGCTCGGGGACATCCCATGCTGCTTCTGTGCTGGAGCTGTGGGGCTCTGGGAGCAGCACCCTCCTGATAACAGCTCTGATAACATCTCGGGGGCCATCCCGTGCTGCCTCTTCCCCGGGGTTCTGGGAGCATCACTCTCCCGATATCAGCTCTGATAACGCCTCAGGGCCGGGCTCTGAGCGTGTGCCGGGCTTTGCTGCGCCTCTGCCCGTGGGGAAACACTCCCGGAGCTTTTCTGCTTCTCTTCTGGGCGGCGTGGGACGCTCCGTGCCATGGTTACGGGCGCAAACAGGGCCGCCACAGCCCGGTTATTTATATCCCCCCGCTCCACCTCTCCCGGAGGGCTGCGGGGCCGAGGGACGGGGATTTATGCGATGTGCTGTTTATACAGCTGCAGACCGAGCTGAACCTCGCGGCCTGGGGAGCCGGGAGGGTGAAACGCCATCCCCATCCCCGCTGGAGCTGCGTGCGGGCAGTTTTGGGCCAAATGCCGAATTTCCAGCGGTGGCACAGCTGGAGGGGACGGTTTAGGTGCTGTGATGCTGCCGGGGAAGGGATCCGTGCCTTCCCGGAGCCGGTTTGCTCTCTCGTCCCGCGGCGGAGCTGTTTGGATGGTGCTTGCCTTGCGCTGAGTTATCGCTGCCTGTGCCCCTGCCCGGGGCATCCCCGAGGGCAAGGCGGGACCGGGACAGGGCTGGGGCCACCCCCGTGCCAGCCCCGGGGCGAGGGCAAAGCGGGACCGGGACAGGGCTGGGGCCACCCCCGTGCCAGCCCCGGGGTGAGGGCAAAGCGGGACCGGGACAGGGCTGGGGCCACCCCCGTGCCAGTCCCGGGGGTTTGGTAAAGTGGGGACCAGGACAGCCCTGCCAGGGCCAGTGTCACCCCTGTGCCAACCCCAGGGATTTGGGAAAGCAGGGACCGGGACAGCCCTGCCAGGGCTGGTGCCACCCCTGTGCCAGTCCTGGGGATTTGGTAAAGTGGGGACCAGGACAGCCCTGCCAGGGCTGGTGCCACCCCCATGCCAATCCCGGGTTGAGGGCAAAGTGGGAAAAGTGGGGCCGGGACAGCCCTGATGGGGCTGGTGTCACCCCCATGCCAATCGTGTGGCAAAGACAAAGCAGGACCAGGACAGCTCTGCCAGGGCTGGCATCACCCTCATGCCAACCCCAGGGCGTGGGCAAAGCAGGACCAGGACAGCCCTGCCAGGGTTGGTATCACCCTCATGCCAACCCCAGGGCGTGGGCAAAGCAAGGACCAGGACAGCCCTGCCAGGGTTGGTGTCACCCCCGTGCCAACCCCGGGGCTTTGGGGATGAATCCTGGGGGGGCTGTGCTGCCCCATCCCACCCCACCAGCTCCAAGGATCCCACTCCTTTGGCTCATCCCAGGCTGTTTTGGGGTGCAGCCCCTTTGCCCAGCGGTGTTTTGGGGGCACTGGGAGCCAAGTGGTGCCCGCCTGCCCACGCAGACTTGGCCCTGCTTCCCCTGAGCTCAGCAGCTTTCCCGGCTCACCTGTTCCCAGGCCGGCTCGGGCGGCAGCAGATGGCAAAGCCCACCCTAATGAAGATTAATTGAGGAGATTTCGCCTTCCCTGCCGGGTTTTCATTATTGTTTTGGGGAGGTTTCGCTGCTGCTGGGGCCGGGCTCTGCTCCTGCTGGGTCCTGTCCCCATGTCCGTGCTGAACCCCGTGGGGATGGGGCTGGAGATGGGAATTTTATTTGGGACAGGTGAAGAACCAGCTCAGCCTCAGCCCTGCAGCTCCTGTCCCTCTCTCTGCCCCCTCCCCATTCCCCTGCCAGCATTCCTGGCTTTTCCAGCTCCTCTTGGAGGGTGGGAAGAGCAGCGAGCTGGGATGGGAGCCTGGCACTGCCTGTCCCATGGGGGGTTTGGGAAACTGGGGACCAGAACAGCCCTGCCAGGGCTGGTGTCACCCCCAGGGATTTGGGAAAGTGGGGACCAGGACAGCCCTGCCAGGGCTGGTGTCACCCCCATGCCAACCCCAGGGCGAGGGCAAAGTGGGACAGGGTTAGGGTTAGGGACAGGGACAGCCCTGCCAGTGTCGGTGCAGGGCTGAGGGTGTAAAAATCGCCCCTGGGTGCTTGGTAGAGCGGAATTCCTGCCCGGGAGGGACGGGGGACGCTGGTTCCTGGCTCCCCTCGCTGCCTTCAGGCATCTGACCCTTCCCTAAGCCGCTTAAGCGCTGCCGGCAGCCGGGACGGGGCGTTTGCCCAGGCTTTGCGAGTTAATTCCTAGCAGGTGATGTGTTCCCAGAAAGTTCCTTTCCCAGCCAGCCCCGTGGGGCCTCTCCTGCCTGTATCCTTCCCCAAATCCTACGGGATGACTCCAGGGAGGTTTCCCCACCCCATCACGGTGGTGCTCCAGGGCCAGGGCCACCCGCAGCAGAGTCCCCACATGTGCCCAGGCTCTCTGCGTGAGGCAAGGGGCACAAATCTTTGCAGAAGGGGCACAAATCTTTGCAGAAGGGGCACAAATCTTTGCAGGCTGGGAGATTTCTGCCTTCTCCTCTGCTTTGTGCTTCGCTGCCCGTGTAATTGCCTGCTAAATCCTGCCTGGGTAATCTTTTATTGCTGATGATGCTCCAAGCTCTGAGCTCTGCCCTGGGCCGTGTTTTGCTCCTCAGCTCAAAGCCTGGCACCTCCTGCCCGTGCCACGGGGGTGCTGCTGTTCCCTGTGGGGTTTCACTCCAGAACTGCTGTGCTGGAGGAAAAAAAAAAAACCCCAATTAATAATTCAGAGGGAGAAGGAGCTGGCTCCAACCTTCTGCCTTGCGGCTGGGGAGCGCCCGGGAGAGCAGCAGCGCAGGGAGGACAGGGTGGTGACACGGCTGTCACACCCCTGGCCCCTTCCTGGCTCCAGTTCTCCCTCCTCCCTGCTCTGCATCCAGCCCTTCTCCCATTCCTGAGGATTTTTTTTGCTGTGGGTCCCACCTCCAGCAGCATTTTGGGGAAAAGGACCCAGAGAAGGTCCCCTTTAGGCTGTGCCACCCTCATGCCCCTCATGGCAGGGCTGGGTTTGAGAGCCCCCAGCCCCACACAGGGCTGTGGGGTCAGTGGGGAGGGGTCCTGGATGGTCCCACTGAGGGGCAGAGCATCAGCCCCTCTCTGTTGTGTCCCCTGGGGCCTTCCCAGTGCCACTGGGACAGCTGGGACAGGATTCACCCCTCTGATGGCCCAGGCAGCTGATTCTGCCCAAAAATCCCACATCAACAACACAAAGAGATGGGAATGTCCTCCTGAGGGGGGGGATGAGCCCCCAGCAACCCCCAGACTAATTGAGGAGATTTCTCCTTCCCCATTGGGTCTTCATTATTGTCTTGGGGACATTTCATCCACCCCTGGTGGCCCCTGGGCATTGTCACCATGAGAACACAGCCATGGGACTGAGATGGGTGCCACCAAGGTGCCAGGGCCACCAGGGCTCAGCCAGGCTGTGCCAGTGCCAGCCAGGGCGGTGTGCCCATGGTCCCTGGTGTGCCCATGGTCCCTGGTGTGCCCATGGTCCCCAGTGCCACCCAGGGCAGTGGTGACAGAGCAGTGAGTGGCCCTTTGTGTCACGTGGGACGGTGGCACAAGCCCTCCACTTTCCTTTTTTAGAATCGCTGGATCAGGGGAAAAAAATGTATTTTTGGAGGTTTCATTTGCTTCAGCTTCAGAGTCGACTTTCTTTTTTTCCATTTCTTTTTTTCCTTTTCTTTTTTTTTTTTATTTTGTTAATTCCCCTCCTTACTTTAAATGGGCCAAAGCCCCTCGTGCCTGAGCGCTCGGGGAGGAGCAGCCTCAGAGCTGTTCCTGGGGACTTTTCCCCTTTTTTTGACACTTCCCAGGCGTTGCTGGCAGGTCCCCACAGTGGCAGAGATGCTGGGGACGGTGCTGAGCAGCTCTGGTGCCCTTCCTGCAGCTCCTGGGCCCTCCACAGTGCCGGACCCCCCGTGTCCCTCCCTGCCTTTAATTAAGAAGCTGCAGGGCTGCGGCAAAGCTGGCACCGAGCCCCACGGCAGCTCCTGGGCTCTCCAAAGGCTCCATGCCACCATCTAGAGGCAAAACGTGTCCCCAGTGGCTCTGCCACGGCCTGGGGAGGTCTTGACTGGGGGTTCAGGCTGTGAGAGAGGGGTAGCACTGTGGGCTGGGGTCTCCTGGCTGTCCCTGTGCCCCCACTGACACTTTGTCCTTCCAGATTCCTCCTCGTCTTCAGCTGCCTGGTGCTGTCGGTCTTCTCCACCATCCAGGAGCACCAGAAACTGGCCAACGAGTGCCTCTTCATCCTGGTGAGTGATGCACGAGCGGGGCTGCTGCTCAGATTTCTTTTCCCCGCTTTATATCCTAAAAGAATTGGGGAAGACCATGGACAGAGCCCCTGTGACCTCATCACGAGTAGCTGATGGCACCTCGGGGGTGGCCTGGCCGTGGGTGTCACCAGAGCCCATCCCACCATTGTCTCTCCACCCCACCATTGTCTCCCTGAGCAAAAACCGCTGGAACAGGCAGGGCACGAGGGGCTAAAAAAGGCAACTTTCCCCCAAACTGTCAGAAAGAGCTGACGCAGGGACTTCTCCCAAGTGACGGAGACTAAATTGGGAAGGTCCTTGTGACTTTCCTGCGAGTAAGCAGAACGGGGGCTTGTTTGTGCGAGAGGTAGGAGGACAATGCTGACAGAGGAGGAAAAGGACCCAGCTCGGGGTGAGGAGGAGAGCAGCGATTCCCTCACAGCCCTGACAGCTCCGTCCCATCACCCTCATCCCCCGGGGCAGCTCCGCCGGCCTTGCTGCGCCCGCCCCGCGCCGCGCTCAGCCCCGTTCGCTTTTCCCCCATCAAATCGGAGCCCTCCACTCTCTCTGCCCCCGTTTTTTTTTCCCCTGGCAGGAGTTTGTGATGATCGTGGTGTTCGGCATGGAGTACATCATCCGCGTGTGGGCCGCCGGCTGCTGCTGCCGCTACCGCGGCTGGCGCGGGCGCTTCCGCTTCGCCAGGAAACCCTTCTGCGTGATAGGTACGGGCTGGCACGGGGAAAGAGCTCGTTTCCATTGGGTTCTGGGGTCAGGTTAAAGGTGGCCTCTGGGGCTCTAAGGACTTGCAGGGTACTGGTTGCTGGCAGCTTTAGTTTTGGAGAAATCCAGCAAAGTTTGCCAGTTTCGAGCTAAGTGCTGTCCTGTCGGCCAGGGCGAGTGGCCACAAGCAGAGGCTATTTTCCATGGGGAAAAGAAGTCATTTCCCCAGGGTTTGGGTATCAGGTTAAAGGTGGTCTTTGGGGCTCTAAGGACTTGTAGGTTCCTAGTTGCTGGCAGCTTCAGTTTTGGAGAAATCCAGAAAAGTTTGCAAATTTCTAGCTTGGCACTGCACGGTTTGCCAGGGCGAGTGGCCACAGAGGCCATTTTCCATGGGGAAAAGAAATTATTTCCTCAGGGTCTGGGTATCTACTTGAAGGTGACTTTTGGGGCTCTAAGGACTTCCAGGGTCCTAGTTGCCAGCAGCTTCAGTTTTGGAGAAATCCAGAGAAGTTTGCAACTTTCTAGCTTATCACCACACGGTCTGCCAGTGCGACCAGCTCTCTCTGCTGCAGCGTGGCAGGGTGGTAGAAATGCTGCAACTTTCTTTGAGGTGTCTCCCCCAGAAGCTGCTCAGGGTCAGGCCACCAGAGCAGCCATTTCAAGTCCATGCACACACACACAACGTGGATAGCTCAGCAGAGGAAGGACAGGAAGGGTTTTTGTACAATGTATTTCAGTGAAGGTTTATTCCAAAGCGTGCTGAAGGGATCAGGGACAAAGAGAAAAACCATGTGTAGTAATTAGCATTGACTCCATGATTCTCAGAAGGCTGATCAATCACTTTAATGTACTAATTGAGAAACCCATCACCCTTACAGACAGTCTGATACAGTTTTGATCTAATTGGTTCTTGAATCCAAGCACCATCACCATTGGCCAATTAAGAAATCACCCTTTGGTAAACAAATCTCCATAACACATTCCTCATGTGCACAACACCAGGTGCAGCAGGTTAAGATGAGAATTGTTTCTCATTCTTTCCTCTGAGCTTCTCACAGCATTTCCCCTTGATCCTTCACTGATTGCCTGGGAGAAGAAACAGCCTCCTGTGTCCTCACATCTCCTTCCAGGCAGTGGTGGAGTGCCAAGATCACCCTTGAACCTCCTTCTTTCCAGGCTAAACAACCCCAGCTCCCTCCACTGCTCTTCACAGGACTTATGTTCAAACCCTTTACCAGCTAATACAATAATACATTAATAATATAACACATTAGTACAACATGACAACCTCACAATAATAAATTAACAATACAACACATTCGTACAACATGACAACTTTACAATAATAAATTAACAATACAACACGTTCGTACAACATGACAACCTCACAATAATAAATTAACAATACAACACGTTACCACAACATGACAACCTCACAATAATAAATCAACAATACAACACGTTACCACAACACAACAACTTCGATTTTTACGAGTGGAATTCTGGATAACTCACGTACCCCCCCGAGCCTCTTTGCCCCCTCAGATTTCATCGTCTTCATCGCCTCGGTGGCCGTCATCGCCGCGGGCACGCAGGGAAACATCTTTGCCACGTCGGCGCTGCGCAGCATGCGCTTCCTGCAGATCCTGCGCATGGTGCGCATGGACCGCCGCGGCGGCACCTGGAAGCTGCTGGGCTCCGTCGTCTACGCCCACAGCAAGGTGAGAAAAATTGTAAGATATTGTTGTTACCAATATTGAGCACGGGAGGTTCCTTGGCTTGTCTGGCCCCTGTGTCTGAACCAAACAGCAGCACTGTGGTGTTTCACCCACAGACACTTTTGGCTGCTGGGCGTGTGGTGTTTCACCCACAGACACTTTTTCCCGCCTGGGTGTGTGGTGTTTCACCCCAGAGACACTTTTGGCTGCCTGGGTGTGTGGTGTTTCACCCCACAGACACTTTTGGCTGCCTGGGTGTGTGGTGTTTCACCCACAGACACTTTTGGCTGCCTGGGTGTGTGGTGTTTCACCCCACAGACACTTTTGCCTGGCTGGGTGCTGCAGTTGGCACTGCAGACAAGTCCAGGCCTGCAGGAGCTCTGGTGGTGCTGGGATGGAGCTTCCCCCCATACCAGGGGCTGCTCCTGGGGTTTCCCTCTGGCAGAGAAGCTTTAAGGGGATGGTGAAGGAAAGGAGTCGGTTCTGATGGAGGCCTTGGATCCAGAGCTTTATTCTGGCCCTCAGGCCTCTGAATGCAGCACCAGCTCCCACAGAACTCCCTGAGCCCGTGGCTGCTGCTCCTTTAACCCCGGGGAGAGGGGCAGGGAAGGGGCAGGGAGGCACCAAGCAGGGACAGGAGGGGAGGGACAAAGGGACAAAGGACACCTGGATGGCCCAATGCCCCCCAGGGGTAGAGGGCATCCTTTGGATCTGCCAATCACTCGAGGCCCTTCTGGAATGCCAGGATTGACAGACAGTGCTGGGAGGGGAAAGGAGAGGTGAGTGACACTCCTGTGATATAACATAAACTTATAACATAAAATTCAGTGCAATACAAAGACCACTCAGCGCAAATCTCCAATCGCCCAGTGCAAAACAAACAACTAAGTAACTATTTAGCACAATACAACACAAAACCACCCAGGGACACCCCCCTGAGCCTCACCATGCCCTGCAGGAGCTCATCACCGCCTGGTACATCGGCTTCCTGGTGCTCATCTTCGCCTCCTTCCTCGTCTACCTGGCCGAGAAGGACGCCAACGTGCAGTTCGCCACCTACGCCGATTCCCTGTGGTGGGGCACGGTAAGCTCAGCCCCCGCGGCTCCCCGGGGACAGGAGGGGACGGGGCCGTGCTGGGGGAGCGCCCTGCAGGCCCCCGGCTGCTGTGCCCCCGGGCAGGTGACCCTGACCACCATCGGCTACGGGGACAAAGCACCGCAGACGTGGCTGGGCCGGATGCTGGCGGCCGGATTCGCCCTGCTCGGCATCTCCTTTTTCGCCCTGCCCGCCGTGAGTAGGGCTGGGAGAGCTCAAAGCAGGGGGGGAAAGGGGCAGAGCTGCCTCTGAGTGGGGCCCAGGCTGTGCTGGCACTCACAGCCCTGTCCCCTCCTGTCCCCAGGGGATCCTGGGCTCCGGTTTTGCCCTTAAAGTGCAGGAGCAGCATCGGCAGAAGCACTTTGAGAAGAGGAGGACTCCAGCAGCCAACCTGATCCAGGTGAGGCAGGGCTGGCCTGTCCCACCCCACCCCTTCCCAGGAATGCTCTGCTGTCCCCTCCTCTGCTCTGCCCATCCAAACCCCCGGCCCCACATCCAGCACTGTGACCGTGCTCACAGGGGTCCGAGGATGAGGGAAGAGACGAGGATCTGACTCCATGTTTCAGAAGGTTTTTATTGTTTTATTATTTTATTTTATATTTTATTATAAAATTTATTTATTCTTAATTATTTTGTTATTTATTTATTATTTTATTATTTATTTATTATTTATTCATTTTTAATATTTATTTTATTTAGGGATTTATTATTTTATGATATATATTATATCAAAACTATACTAAAAGAATAGAAGAAAGGATTTCATCAAAATATTAATTAATTATTAATCAAAATCAAATCAAAATATTAAATTAATTTAATATTTATTTTATTTAGGGATTTATTATTTTAGGATATATATTATATCAAAACTATACTAAAAAAATTGAAGAAAGGATTTCATCAGAAGGCTGGCTAAGAGTAGAAAAAGAAGTAATGAATAAAAAAGCCTTGTGGCTCAGACAGAGTCCGAGCCAGTTGGACTGTGATTGGCCATTAATTAGAAACAACCACATGAGCCCAATCCCAGATGCCCCTGTTGCATTCCACAGCAGCAGATAACCATTGCTTACATTTTGTTCCTGAGGCCTCTCAGCTTCTCAGGAGGAACAATCCTAAGAAAAGGGATTTTTCAGAAACCATGTCTGTGACACAGCGCTGACATCCTGAGGGTTGGCTGCTGCCGCCTGCGGGGGCCAGGATGGATGGAGGGGTCCGGGAGGGTTCTCCCGTCCCAATTAACCCGGATTCCCGGGAATCTCGCTCCCTGCAGGCTGCCTGGCGCCTGTACTCCACGGACGCCAGCCGGGGCTACCTGACGGCCACCTGGTGTTACTACGACAGCCTCCTGCCCGCCTTCAGGTAGGCGGGAGCGGGGGAGAGGGCTGGGCGGCTCCCGGGGCTCCCCGCGGGGATGAACGGCCTGGGAAACCGGGAGGGACCTTGTGGAACCCCCAGGAGCTCGGTGGGGTCGAGCAGCGCCCACACCTTCCCAAGACGGGAGTCTGCTGAAGGAGCCCCCTTCATCCTCATCATCCTCACAGCGCCCGTCCCATCCCCTCTCACTCCATCCACAGCCTTCCTCCAGCAGCACAGGGAATGGGGTGGTGCCTCGGGGACCCCACGGTTGTGGTGGTGGAGCTGCAGCAGGACAGGAGCTGGTTCCAGGCGTGGACACGGGGGGATCCAGTGGGAGCCCCATGTCCCGTGCCTGCACCGTGCCCCTCCCGTGATCCCTGGGATTTTGGCACTGTGGGTGGATCAAAGGCTTCCCAAAGGTTTTCCAGACTTCTCTTCCAGATCCTGAGGGTTTCTCACATCCCTGTGAGCAATCCCTGCCCTGCTCTGGCCCTGTGACAAATTCATCCCTCTGTCCCACTCTCAGTTTTTCCAAAGGCAGAGCTTTCAACATCCACAGCCCTGAGTCCCAACTTCCCGAGCATCACCCCAGATCCTGGGGATCTCTGGGGGCTCTGCTGCCCCTCCTGCTGTGCCAGGAGCTGTGTTCCCTGCAGTGGAATTCACACAGAGCCAGATTCCATCCCTGATGGGTCTGAGCTTTCCCCTTCTGCCTGGAGCCCAGGATCTGATGGTGACAGGTCCCCATGTCCCCACCCCGTCCCAGATTTGTCCTTTCCTGATCCATCCCTCTCAGCGCATCCAGCCCTTCCTTCTGTGCAATCCTGTCCCAGGACTCTTCCCCAGCCCCATAACCATCTTTTGAACAAAAATGCTGATTTTTTTTGTTTTGTTGTTTTGTTTTCCTCTGCTTTTGCTTTGGTTTGCGCTCAGGAGGACCCAGCGCTGCTCAGCCTCGCTTTGCTGGTTTTGTTTGCTTTGGAAACTTTAATTTCTCCCCGTTTTTATTTCACCCCGACCTCAGAGAGCTGGTCCTTATGTTTGACCACTTGCACCGGGTCCGCAACGGAGGATTTAGGAACTCAGAGGTGAAAAAATGGCCTGACAGAGCCCCACCACCCTATCACTGCTCCACCCCTGCCCAGAAAAGCTTCAGCCTGGCCGTGTGTTCAGGGGAAAGGTAGGAGGGGGCAGCCCCCGTGTTCTCCCTCCTCTCTGCTCTGTCTCCTCTGTGCCCTCCTGAGATGTCACTGTCACTGCCAGGCCAGACCCGAGTGCCACCACCCCAAAGTGTCCCCTGCTCCCCCCTGGTGCTGGGCACCCCTGCTGCTGCTCCCAGCCCTCGGGTTTTGGTTGTTAATTGTTGCCCTGAGATGTGCAGGGTGTCTCTGCTTTGAGAGGGAAGGGTTTGGACTCTTCACTTTTCGCTCTTGAGGTTGTTCATTAATTCTTATCTATAAAATTTTCTTTCTGCCCAGCCGAGGTCTGCTCAGCAGGGCAGCCACAGGCACTGTGACCGCCCCAAGGGTGGTGTTGTCCTTTTATACTACAAACTACATAGAACATATTTACACTTAATTCCCAATACCCATCACCTATGTTAGACAGTGCACTTCTACTCTAAACCAATCCCAAAGTGCCAACATCACTGCAGAAAATGGAGAACAAGAAGAAGAAGAAGGAGAAAGGCTGGACATGCCCAAGTCCCTCCATCTTGTCCCCATAACCCCCACACCAAAAATCCTAAAATCTACATTTTCACCCCGTGATTATTTTATTATTACACTGTTCAAACCTGTGTGACTTTCAGGTCCTCATACAAAGCTGGCAACTTGCTCCAGGGGTCAAAATCAAATCCCCAGGTGCTCTGGGCTGTGTGCCAGGGTCTCTGAGCCCCCCAATGGGGTCTTTGGCAACTCTGGACACCCAGAGGGATGCACTGAGTTCTGACACCCAGCTCCATTCCAGCTCCAGAAGGGGCAGATTTGATCCCAGGGGACCCTCTGGGCTGTTTGACCTTTGTGAGGTCACCTCGCTGCCCTCTCTGTGTGGCCGTGACCCTGGGACGTGGCACAGGGCAACTGAGAGTGGCAGGAGACCCCTTGGCAGGGGCAGCGGTGCCATCCTGGCAGGATGGAGCAAATCCCAGAGCCTGGGAAGGAGCAAATCCCAGAGCCTGGGAAGGAGCCAATCCCAGAGCCTGGGGCTGGGAAGGGCTCCCTGAGCCCATAAGGAGAGAAGGGAGGGCTTGGGGCTGCCCTGCTGCTGCCGGTGGCTGCTCTGCACCGTGTCCCTTGTCCCCTCTGCCCTGAAGAGGAGATCCCAGGGTGCCACCAACGCTGGCCACCCCCCAGGACAGCGCCAGGGTTAGGTGGGGAGAGGCCTCGTGCCTCAGTTTCCCCCGTGATGCCCCATCAGCAGGGCTGAGCGTGCAGCTGTGGGGATGAGCGGCGCCTGCTCCCCCAGGTGAGTTCGGGGCTTGGGGGGGCTCCTCCCTGGGCTCTGTGACCAACCAGGAACCGGCAGGGGAAGGACCGAACCCCCCCGCCCGCTCGGGGGTCTGAGCCCGCCCATGTCCCCCCGCGAGCATCACCTCTCATAACATCTCATCTTCTCTCTCTCCTCCCCTCTCCCGCTCACCCTCCTCCTCCTCCTCCTCCTCTCCATCCCTCCGCCCTCCCCAAGCTGGAATGAGGAGGACGCGCAGCCCCACAGGTGTTTACGCCTCAGGTAACGCTCGCCCCCGGCCGCGGGCAGCCCCCAGCGCGGTCCCTCTGCCCGGGGACTGTCCCCAGATCCTTCTGGCCGAGCCGAGACGGCGCCCAGGTGTTTATGCAGGACCTACACGAGCATCCTGCCCTCGCAGCGGTGGCACCGCGGGGACAGCGGGCGGTGGCCCCGGGACGCTCCGCTCCTGCCCACCGGGGCTGATTCTCTTTTCTCCTGTGTCTTCTCCTGGCCCTGCCCCTCCAGCCCCATCTTTAGTGGTAAGAGGAGGCTCTTGCAGACGTGGGGCACGTGGAGAAGGAGGTACCGTGTCCTGCTGAGAGCCTCGGGATGCATGGATGCACCGCCTGCCTGCGTGCCTGCGGCATGGACGGGGCTGGGACCGTGACAGGGGTGGAGGCTGGACTGGGGGTCCCTCTGAGGGCAGGGAGGCTGTGCATGGCCCGGGCTGAGCCGTCCCGCTGTCCCTTACTGCCTCAGTTTCCCCGTTGTAATGTGGATGGGAGCGGGGTGGTGGCAATCACCTCCAGCACTTGGATAAATCCCATAAATCCCAGCTGTGTGCTGCAGCCTGATTCCCGGGACACAGCTCTTCCCAGCCTGGGAATGTGTGGGATGTGTGGCAGCCCCCCCTGCCAGCACAGGGAAGGGCTGGGAGCCCCATGCCCTGCCAGGACCTTGCCTGAATCCCTGCGTGAATCCCTGCCAGGACCCTGCCTGTATCCCTGCCTGTATCCCTGTCTCTACCCCTGCCTGAATCCCTGCCTGTATCCCTGCCTGAATCCCTGTCTCCATCCCTGCCTATTTCCCTGCCAGGACCCTGCCTGAATCCCTCCCTGTACCCCTGCCAGGACCCTGCCTCTATCCCTGCCTTGCCCTGCCTGAGGAAATCCAGGAACCTCCCCAAACACCTGGGTTTTATGGATCCTGTCCTGCAGAGGGTGTGGGATTCACTCCGTGCCCTCCCCAGCTTTAGGGTCCTTCCCCGTGCGTCCCCTTGAGCTGCATTTGGGGTCTCTCACCATACAAAATCTGGGGGTTTTGAGTAGGTCCTGCATAAACAATGCCTGGTGTTTCCTCCCCAAAACCCGAAATTGCAGCTGGGTTTGGGAGCAGAACTCGCGGTAGGGCAGGAGCAGAGCCTGGAAGAGGAGGAGGAGGAGGAGGATGAAGCAGCTTGGCTGGGTTTGGAGGGATGGAGCAGGAGCAGAGCTCTGCTCAGCTCGGCGGTGGCTCTGCCGCGTGTCCCCTGCTGCCACACCCATCTGTCCCCTCTCTCCCTGTCTGTCACCTCCTTTCTCTGCTCTTGGGACCAAAAAAAAAAGGGATTTAAAGGAACAACCCCAGAGCTGCCCAGCAGGAACCACCTGGCTCCTGGTGCCCCATCACCCGCTGGGCGCTCTCTGTGAGCTCAGCACGGCCACCCCCACCTCAAACAGGGGCCACCCCGTGCCTGTCCCTGTCCCCACGGCCCTGACACCGCTGTCCCCGCGCAGCAACAAGATGGCCATCAAGGAGCGGATCCGGCTGAGCAGCTCGCAGCGCCAGGGCGGCCGCGGCCGCCAGCAGCAGCAGCAGCACCTGGGCCCGCCCCTGCACCGCTCCCCCAGCACCGAGGACATCCCTGAGGCCTCCAGCCCCAGCAAGGTGCAGAAAAGCTGGAGCTTCAACGACCGCACCCGGTTCCGAGCATCGCTGAGGCTCAAACCGCGGACACCCACTGAGGGTGAGTGTCTTGGTTGGGAAAAGCCAGGAGGCTGCTAAGGAAGGCAGGAGCCTCCCCTGAAATGGAGAATGTGAACCCTCCCCACCCCTCTGAATTGCTATAAATTTTAAATTAAGGGGCTCTCAGGCAAAAAAAAATATGGGAGCAGGAAATAACAGTTCTTCAATAAGTAAAAGAAAAAAATTAAAGGATAAACAATGCAGTACACTAGAACAACAGTGCCAGAGTCAGAACACAGCCTGACACCCTGTGTGGTGTTGGCAGCAGAACCATTGGAATTGTGGCTCAGCCCTCCTGCAGTGCCAGGGCTGGTTCTGCTGGAGCAGGGATCCTGGAGAAAGGTGCAGTCTCTGCCTCTGCAGATCCAGGGCAAGAGGCAGCTGCTGTTCCTCTGGGCAATGCAGTGCAGAAGCCGTGCTGGTGTTCCAGAATCTCCAGATTCTATCCGGGTAGGAATGCTTGGCTCCTCCCTCTGGGCTCCCATCTGCCAATGGGATGCTGCAGTTCTTATCAGCCATGCAGGGACATTCCATAGCTGTTATCAGCAGGTGTCCCCTCCTGAGGGAGGTGTGATTGTGGTCACTCAGAGAGAGATAAGGCAAACTGCCCACTTGACCAAGGCAATCTGCCATGCAGATGGTAATAGAACACATCTTGCATTGCAATCTTCAACAGTGAGCCCCTGGGGGACACTGGGGGGGCTGCAGGGTTGGGGACAGCCCTGGGGCTCTGCCATCTGCCCCCTCTTGTCACCCACAGCCGACTGCCCACCAGAGGACAGCGGTGAGGAGAGGAGCTCCCCATGCGAGCTGACCTTCGAGGACATCATGCCAGCCGTGAAAACCCTGATCCGGGCTGTCAGGTGAGACTGTCCCCTCCCGTGTCCCCCAGCGTGCACAGAGCCCCCCACCCTGGGCACCCCGTCCGTGCCTCCAGCCCGGCTGTCCCTGCAGGATCCTGAAGTTCCTGGTGGCCAAGAGGAAGTTCAAGGAGACCTTGCGTCCCTATGACGTCAAGGATGTCATCGAGCAGTACTCGGCCGGACACCTGGACATGCTGGGCAGGATCAAGAGCCTGCAGACGCGGTGAGGTGCCCTGCAGGTGACCCTGGGGCATTCCCTGGTGGGGTCTCCAGCCCTCAGGAGTGATGGGTGGACTCTGCCCCTTCCTTCCCCACCCTGGGGCATTCCCAGGGTCATTCCCTACTGGAGTCCTGAGCCCTCGGGAGAAATGGATGGGCTCTGCCCCTTCCTTCCCCACCCTGGGCCATTCCCTGGTGGGGTCTTGGAAGTGATGGGTGGGTTCTGCCCCTTCCTTCCCAACCCTGGGGCATTCCCAGGGTCATTCCCTAGTGGAGTCCTGAGCCCTCGGGAGTGATGGGTGGGCTCTGTCCCTTCCTTCCCGACCCTGGGGCATTCCCCACCCTGGGCCATTCCCTGGTGGGGTCTCGGCAGTGATGGGTGGGCTCTTCCTTCCCTCCCTGCCAGCGTGGACCAGATCGTGGGCAGGGATCGGGCGCTCCCAGCGGACAAGAAGGTTCGGGAGAAGGGGGAGAAGCCGGCGCTGGAGGCGGAGCTGGTGGACGAGCTCAGCATGATGGGGCGCGTGGTCAAGGTGGAGCGGCAGGTCAGGAGGGGACACCCAGCATTGTCACCGTCCCTTGGGAGGGACAGCCAAGCCCCCCGCCACCCCTCCCACGGGGCTGGGCCTGGCTGAGCCGGGGGTCACTGAGGGGCTGCTGTAATCACACCCCTGTTCTCAGCCATCCCCTACACTGGGCAAACACTGGTCGAATGAGCCTGAGGTGGGTTCTCTGTCGACAGCCCTACACTAACTCAATTCTTTGCCCTTCATTTCCTCCTCCCATTTGTCACTGTAGGCCTCACAGTCGTCCATCTCACCTTCCTCCACGAAACAGGCTCAAATAACCCCCTCAGACCGTGACAAAATCCCCTTCCACCCAGACTACACCATTAAAGACATTCTAGGGTTTGTACTGGTGCTTTCCCTACTCGTCTCCCAGGCCCTATTCTCCCCCAGCCTCTTGGGTGACCCAGCAAACTTTACACCAGCCAACCCACTGGTCACTCCTCCACACATCAAACCCGAATGATACTTCCTGTTTGCCATCCTCCAATCCATTCCTGTTGCTATAGGACACGAAAGAACACAAGCTCACACCGCTGTTCTCAAGGCAAAGGAAAAGGGAAGTTTATTTTCTGACTCCAACATTTATAGTTTTCCAAGAGTGACAAGGGATTGGAGGGTGACAGTGCCACCTCTCCGATGACACTGGTCAAACCAACAGTCCATCAACTTTCTATATAAAGAAAGTTATATAAAGAAATGCAAAACAATGAGTTATTTACAGAAAGCGTGTGAGAAAGTTCACTACAAGAACGCCAACATCAGAAGGCTTAGAAAACCTTAAAAAAACCAAGGTAACAATTCCAAACAAACCAGGGGGGCGTCCTAGCCCTAAACCACCTCAATCCTCGTTCCTGCCAGGTGCAATCCATCGAGCACAAGCTGGACCTGCTGCTCGGCCTCTACTCGCAGTGCCTGCGCAAGGGCTCCAGCAACTCCTTCAGCCTGGCCGCGGTGCGGGCGCCGCCCGGCGAGCCCGACGTCACCTCGGACTATCACAGCCCCGCGGAGCACGAGGACATCTCCGCGTCTGCACAGACCCTCAGCAGCTCCAGGTCGGCCAGCGCCAACATGGACTGAGCAGGAGGCGGCGGGATGGAGCCGGGGCGATGGGGGAGCCAGGGCGCTGTCCCCTCGCTGTCCCCTCGCTGTCCCCTCGCTGTCACTCAGGGTGTTACTTGAACCGAGTCTTCCTCTGCGGGGACACGGCTGTGGCAGGGTGGCACTGGGGCATGGCCAGCCCGGGCGCCTGGGGATGCTCCTGGGACGTTCCTGGGATGCTCCTGGGGGATGATCCTGGAATATTCTTGGGGACGCTCCCGGGATGTTCCTGGGGATGTTTCTGGGATGTTCCTGGGACGTTCCTGGGGTGCTCCTGGAATATTCCTGAAATGCTCCTGGGGACGTTCCTGGGACGTTCCTGGGACATTCCGGGGGTGCTTCTGGAATATTCCTGGAATATTCCTGAGATGCTCCTGGGGATGCTCCTGGGATGCCCCTGGTATGTTCCTGTGGTGCTCCTGGGATGCTCCTAGAATATTCCTGGGATATTCCTGGGGATGTTCCTGGGTTGCTCCTGGCTTCCTGTAGGATGACACCCCCCCAGCTCTGGGCTCCTGGGTGCTCCCCAGCTGTGGTGGGGATGCTCTGGGCTGGCCCCATCCCCTGGGGTTTGGTTTGAACCCCATCCCCAGCCCTCAGGACAGGTCCTGCCTGGACCCCAGAGCTGAGCCGGGGCCACCACCAGCTATGCAAGGTCCCATCTCCCTGTTGCTGCCAGTGCAGGGGTGTGGGGGCACGACCCAGGGTGGTTTTACCCGAGTCACTGGGGGTCCCCAGTGTGGGGAGCAGAGGACTGTCCCCCCTGCCCAGGTTGCACCTCTCCAGAAGCACAGCAGAGCCTTCTGCCTGCCCGTGCATGCTCCCAGGGCAATATATATATAGATTATATATATATATATATATTTATGCAATAATGTCTTAATATGCAACACCCCTGGGAAGAGCAACCCGAGGGGCCATAGGCAATAAGCAACCCCCTGCCAGCTCCCAGGGCTGGACTGTGCTGCCCTGGAGGCCCTGAGAGCTCAGGGCTGGGGGGAAACCTCCACCCGAGGGTGGCCCTGGAGCCAGGAAGCTGAGCAGGGGCTGTGGGGACAGCGCTGTCCCCAAGGATCGTCCCTCCCCCTGTGCCCCTGCTCCTGCTTAGGGGATTCCCTCCCGGCTGGGTCCTGCGGTGCTCAGTTTGTCCCTGTCCCCGTCCCTGTCTCCTCTGTGGTCCGGGGAGCACGGGCCGGGCCTGGAGGGGACCTGCCACAGGGTGGTGGTGTCCCTGCATGTCACCTACAGCAGCGCCACCACCGCTCCCGCGCTGCCCCAGCCGCCTGCGCTGCCCAGCAACGCTGGGGCTGTGCCCAAGCGGCTCCAGGAGGGCTCGCTGGTCACCCCACAGTGCCAGGACCTATCCTGGGCTGCTCCCACCGCTCCCCCTCTCTGCGTTTGGCACAGCGGGATTTGCTCCAGGTTCTCCCGTGCCCGACCCTGCTCGTCCCCTCTCCCCATCGGTGCATGCGGCCAGCGCGGGCCGTGCCAGGGCTGCTCGAACCCCCCCATCCCGCGGGTGCCCGGGCCGTGCCCACCAGGGGACAGCGCTGGGCGAGGTGCATGTGACAATGTGACAGCTTTGCCCGCAGCCGCACGCAGGAATTTTAACCCTTTAGAACCCCCCTGCCGGGGCTGGCTGGGCCCCGCAGATCCCCCCCGCCCAGAGCCAGCGGTAGTTACCTCACTTGATTAACTTATTAATTTATTTGTTTCATTAAAATTTGGAGTAGAGGCCGCCCGCTTGCTGCCGTTTGTCTCCCGAGAGGTGGCACTGCAGCCCTGCCACCGAGCCGCGGCCAGGGGACACAAATGACCGGACGGGGACACAAATGTCCAGCAGGGGTCAGAAATGTCCGGCAGGGGACATGAATGTCCAGCAGGGGTCAGAAATGTCCGGCCAGGGGGCACAAATGTCCAGCAGGGGTCAGAAATGTCCGGCCAGGGGGCACAAATGTCCAGCAGGGGACACAAATGTCCAGCAGGGGACACAAATGTCCGAATGATGACACAAGTATCCAGCAGGGGACATAAATATCCGGACGCCTCCCTGACCCCTTAAAGCCACCGAGATGGGGCTGAGAGCGCAGCTCCGGCTCCCTCCTGTCCGTGCAGGGGTGCAGGGTTGGTGTCACTGCAGAAGGACCCGTGCCCTGATTTTTTGGCACCTTACAGGGCAAGGTCGCTGCCCCGGGAAGGGCTGTGCCCCCCCTGCCTGTTTGGTGTGTCCCCCTCCAATGGCGACATCGCTGCGATGTCCCCAAGGCCACCCCAGGGAGGTGAGGGTGGAGCCCCCTCCCCCAGGCGCCCCCAGACCCCTGTGGGGACAGCAAAGCTTCGCTCCCCGGGGACAGCACGTCCTGCAGCGATGTCGGGGCTGAGGCGGCTCCTTCCCGTGCCGCTGGCCGGGGAGGAAGCCGGCGCTGGCCGCGGCTCGGTCCCTGCCTTTCCTGGCTGCCTCCTGCCAAGAAATCCTATCCAGGATCGCCTCGGAGCCGAGCCCTGCGGGGGCAGCGCCCCAGAGCTGCCCTGCCCGGGGCTGGGGGCTCGGGGGGGCTCCAGCAGCCCGGTTCCGCTCAGAGCACGATGTGTGGGGTGCGGTCAGTGGGGGGCTGGCTTTGGGGGGCACTGCACCACCTACCAGAGGGGTGGGCGGCTTTCCCGGGTGGGTTTGGGGGGATTCACCCCTGCAGCAGTGGGGTCTTCACAGCCAGCCGGCTGTGGGCTCTCCCCGTGGCTCTGAGCAGTGGGGACGCGGTGCTGTCACCTTGTCCCTCCCCCAGCACGGTGGCACGGGCAGGACAGGGGCCCTGTGCCAGCCTCGGCTCTGCCTCCCGCCGTCACACGGGCGCAAGGTGCTCCGGCAGGACTTTGTCCCTCTCCACCTTGGTTACCCCACGTGTGCCGAGGCTGCCACTCCCCGCCGGGGGGACGCGCAGAGTGACACAGAGAGGGAGCTGTGACCTGGCAGGGCCAGCTGGCCGCGTCCCGCCGGAGCCCAGCCGCAGGAACGGGGTGAGGGGATGCTCCAAACACTTGGACCGTCGCCGCTGCCGCCTCCGCTCTGCGCCTCTTTCTTATCAGCTGGCAGGGGGACAGGGTTGTTACGGGAACGCTCAGCTGCTCCCGCGGCGTCTCTGAGCTGTCAGGGAGCTGGCGGGGGCACAAGGACACAGAGCAGCGGCCGGGGATGTCCTTTGTGCCAGTGGCTTTGCTTTGTTCTCCGGGGGTCTTGGGGGAATTCGTGACTCACTCGTGGATTCCTGCGAGTCCAGTCATGCTGGAGACGGACTGGGCTGGACTCAGTTCCTTCCTGCGCAGCTCCAGCTCCGCGTTGCGTGCGCTGCCCAAGGACGCGCTCACAGGAAAAGGCCCTTCCAAGAGCGCTTGGAACAGGGGCTCCCTGCCGAGGGGGCTCCACAGGACCCCGGTGCAGGCGCCCAGAGCAGCCCGGGGAGCAGGCAGCCCCCGTGCCCGGCGGGATTCGGTGCTCCCCACTTGGCCCGGCGTGAAGCCCACCCTGGCCGCGGCATCCCCCCGGAGCCCCTGGCCCGTGGCCGCCCGGGGAACGCCGCGGTGCTCCCGTCCTGGCTGCCGTGAGGCATCCTCGAGGAATCCTTTGGAGACGCTCCCGACCGGGCGGGGACAGCCGGAGCCCCGCGTGGGCGGCCGAGGTCCCGCAGCAGGTGCTGGAGCCGCGGGGGTGGCCACGAGCCCCCCCCGTTGTGGTCCCTGAGGGCGAGGCTGGGCGCTGATGGACCCAAGTGACACCAGCCCCGTGCCCTGGGCTGGCCTGGGGTGTCCCCGTCACAGCTGGACCCCTGGAAGGGGCAGGAATGCAGCCCCCTCCCCTCCTCTGCGCACACCTGGGCAATGGGGAAGCTCCCCAGGACAGCTCCCGGCCCTGCACGGAGCAGGGGGGGCTGCCCCGATAGCCGGGACCCCCCCCCCATTTGGCGAGGGCACTGCCGGGGGGCACCGGGAGGAGGGGATGAGGAACCGGGGACACCCCGGCCCCGCGGGGACAGAGCGGGCCACAGGTTCGGGGCTCCTCTCTGCAGCCCCAGGCCCGACCCCCGCCCCGCTGCGCTCCGCCCCGGGCCGGTCGCGGCTGTCTCGGCGCCTCCCCGCTCCCCCCGGCCGGGGCGCGGCTATAAGGAGCGGCGGGGCCGGCGGCGGGCGCGGGGCGGCGGCAGCGGCGGGAGCGGCAGGTACGGCACGGGCTCCAGGGGGACGCGGTGGGGCTGGGGGGGTGCCAGGCAGGAGGAGAACGGGGGTCCCGCCCCATGAGTTCCGTGAGGGATCCAGCACCGGACCCTCCGCTCCTCTGCCGGGGTCTCTGCGCGGCGGGCGCGGCAGGTACGGCCGGGAACGGGGAGGGGGGTGCCATTCTTGGGGTCCCCATGGGGTTTTGGGTCACCTTCTCCGCTTTATCGGGGTCCCGGGAGCCCCCAGGCTGCACGGCGGCGGGACGGAGGCGGCAGGAGGGGGTCCTTCCCCGTGTGCCCCCGGATTGTCCCCACCGCCCCGTTTTGGGGTCCCCCATCACCCCCCGAAGCCCGCGGGCCGAGATTTGGCTGCTCATGGCGCTGCCCGCGGTGGGGACTGGGGGTGGCGTTGGGGACGGCCCCGGGCAGCGCCCCGAGTGTCCAGAGAGCCCCTTCCCGTGGGGGTTTGGTTTTGGAGCCGGTGGTGGAGGAATGGGTGAAGGAAAGGCTGTTTTGGAGCTTGAGCTGCGTGGTCACAAGGGCAGTTACAAAACCGGAATGCCCTGAGGAGCCTGGGGAGGGCAGGGTGGGAGCAGCGCCCACCCCGCCGTGCCCTCACCGCCGTCCCTCCGCAGGTGTGGGGACATGAGCGGGGACATGCGGGCCTTGCTGTGCCTCTGGCTGGTGGCCCAGGTGGCCCAGGTGGCCCGGGTGGCCCTGTCCTCGCGGGTCCGCGCCCGCCGGGAGCTGGGTCCCGGTTTGTACCAGCACGGCGTCTACGACGCGGGCGGCTCCTACTGCCAGCGCGGGGACGTGTGCTGCCACGGCCGCGACGACGGCTGCACCGTGCCCTACCACGACACCCTCTGCTACTGCGACCTCTTCTGCAACCGCACCGTGTCCGACTGCTGCCCCGACTTCTGGGAGTACTGCCTGGGAATTCCAGCCCCTTTCCCCAAAGCCCCCGGTGAGTGCACCCAGGTGCTGGGGTTCAGCCCTGGGGTGCTGCTGCTGCTGCTCCTCGGGGTGATGGATGTGGCACCCCGCGGTCCTGCCCTCGCTGCAGAGCTGCCCCAGGGCCCTCGGAGCTGTGGGAGCTCCTACAGAGTGTCCGGGATGGGGACAGATTCCCTCAAAAAGAGGTGTGGGAGCGGCCGGTGATCCCAGAGCCCGTTCCCATCAGTGCCCGCAGGCAGAGCAGGGACAAAGGGGGACATGAGGGGACACCACCCCAGCTTGCCCGGTCACGTCTGGGGCAGGCAGATGCTGGCCCTGGCTTAACCCTGCCGGCAGCTGGGGGCACGGGCAGCCCCCGGCTCCCAGCACAAGGCAGTCTCAGAAGTCCCAGCAGCGGAGCAGAGCCAGCTCCCGGGCACAACCGGCCCCTTTATCCCCTGTCCCGCCAGGCTGAGCGCATTTAACCCTCCCGGCGCCGAGCCAGGCTGCCGCCCTGCACCCACGGACCCCCAGCAGAACTTTGGGGTGCCAAGGTGCAGCCTGGATTTAAGAACAGCGTTGATTTTCCCTTTGGTTTGCCCCGCCCCCCCCCGGAAATTTGGGGGAATTTGGGGGGAACTTGGTGGGACCCCGAGCACTCACCAGGGGCTCTCCCATTCCCCTGCAGGCTGTGCCCGTGCCGGACACAATTATCCCACGGGAGCCACGTACCGGGAGAACTGCAACCTGTGGTGAGTGCGGGAACCTGTGGCATGTCACCAGCATGTCACCAGAGGAAGGTGTCATGCTCCCGTAAACCTCAGCGAGCGAGGCCCGAGCTGGGTGGCGGGAGCTGCTGCCAAAATGCCTTTGCTCCAACAAATCCGGAGCCAAAAAGGGCCTTGAGCCTCTCCCGGGTTCCAGCGCACGCCTGCGTGGGAGCCGCTCGCCCCGGCGCTGCCCAAGGGGCCTTTTGGCCACGCTGGTCCCAGCCCAGCTTGCCCAAGCCTGACCGGGGTTCCGTGCCAGCTGTGCCTCCTGCCGGGCGCTCCCGGAGCTCGGGGTTAACTGGGAATTCTGCTGTTCCTGTACTGGTATTGCTGGCATGCGGAGGTGGGGGATTGGAGACGAGGATTGCAGCCCGAGGGGCGATGCTGCTGCAGATAAGCGGAAATCAAAGGCAGCGTCTGGGGCGTGGGCAGGGGCACGTGTGGGAACATGTGTGTGTGCGCTGGGGCTGCGGGTGAAAAGCCAGCCCGAGCCTCCCCGCAGCTCTGGGGAGTTTATCCGGGATCGTGGCACGGAGCACTCAGGGATGGAGAAGGTCCCCGTTCCCCTGGGAATGTCCCCAAGCCACACAGGTGGATGTCACCTCTCTGCTGCTGGGGGAGCATCTCTGACCCATCTCTTCCCACCCTAACCCTCCCAAACCCTCCTTCCCCACACTTGGTGCTGGGAGAAGAGGAATTTCTGCAGTGTCACCCCCACCCCTGTCCCTGCTGGGGTCCCATTGGGGGGTACCAGGGGACAAAACCCATGGCGGGGTGACACAGGGTGTGTGTGGCACCCTGAGGTGCTCCCAAGCCCCCAGGTGTCACCCAGAGCACCGGGAGCGCTCAGGGATGGATGGGGGAAGGCTGGAATCCAGGTGCTGCCCCGGGATCGGGATGGGGGGGTCTGGCGGGACACGGCCTCGCTCAGCTCCATAAAAGGGAAATGTGCCGGGATCTGAGCATGCCAAGCATTGCTCAGTGCACGGGGGGAGCACAGCCCGGGGCTCCCCTGGGGACCCACCACACCCCCAGAGCGCCCCCCTTGGCCCAGCTGTCCCCATGGGGTGCCCTGGTCGCTGTGGGTCACCCATGGGGACAGCCAGCCCTGACCCCCAGCCCCGGGCTGCTGTCCAAGCCCCTCTCTGATGTCTGCAGCCCTGGCAGCTTTTCAGGTTTTCTGTCCCATGGCCTGGCTGCCCTCGGGGCTCCTGCGGGGGCTGGGGCAGCTCCCAGGGCCACCCAGAGCCACTCAGTGTCACCCAGAGGCCACTCAGTGTCACCCAAAGGCCACTCAGTGTCACCCAGAGGGCTGCCCACGGCTTCACCCCGCTGTGAGGTGCCAAGCTCTGGTGACCCCTAACAGAAGCAGCCAATTTGGGAGGGGCAGCGCCCACCCAGTGTCCCCCCGGTCACCCTGGGGACATCATTTCTCGCCGCCTGTCCCCTCTGCAGCACCTGCGGGCCCGGCGGGCAGTGGCAGTGCGAGGACCACGCCTGCCTGATGGATGGGGAGCTCATCGATGCCGTCAACCGGGGCAATTACGGGTAAGGAGCGGGCACAGGGATGCTGCGCCCCTCGGTGCTTTTCGGGGTGACCCCTGAGCCGTGTCCCCGCTCCCCGCGCAGCTGGAGAGCCGCCAACTACAGCCAGTTCTGGGGGATGACCCTGGAGGACGGGATCCGGCACCGCCTGGGCACCTTCCGTCCCTCTCCCACCGTCATGAACATGAACGAGATGCACGTGAGTGCCCCCGGGGGGGAAACTGAGGCACGCCCACGGCTGCGAAGGGGCTCCCAGAGCAGGGGGGCAGGCAGGGCAGCCCTCGTGTTTGGAGACAGCAGCTCAGCAAATTCCCCCGGACAATCCCCGGGCTGCCAGTGTTGTTTTTTCCCCCTCTCCTCCGCGCTGGTTTCCCATCGGAACGCCGGCCCCGCCGCTGCTGACTCAGCACAGCCGCCTCTCTTTGCCTCTGCCCGCACCCAAATCCGGGCTGGGCACCCGCCGGGGGTCCCCGGGGTGCTGGCAGGGCTTGGTGCACCCCCAGCCCCGCGCTCTGGAGCCCGAGGTTTAATTTTAGAGGCGTTTCCTGCGGGCAGCTGCGGCCGTGTCCTCCCCAGGAAGGCCAGGGCGGGGGCTCTGTCCCCGCTCCAGGGAGGAAAGGCAGGGCCAGAGGCCACCCTGAGGGGCTGGGTCACCCTCGGGGCGGCCACCGAGGGCCTTGCTGGGCTCTGGGATGGGACATGGGGTGCTGGTGCTCTCTAAGGAGCTGCTGGGGATGTGGAGCCCAAATTTAGGGGATATTGAGGGGTGTGGCCCTTCTGGGATAACGGGGAACCCAAATCTTTGTCTCTCAGGGTGACCTCCCTGTCCTGAGGGGTCCCACAGTGGGGCTGGGGGACACTAGAGCTCACTGGGGACCATCTCAGGGGATGGCTGGGGTGGCAGGAGGAGGACAGGGGGTCCCACAGTGGGGCTGGGGGACACAAAACTGGGTGGGGACACTGCTCAGAGGTGGCAGGACGAGGAGCAGGGCTGGGGACACTAAAGCTCACTGGGGACCATCTCAGAGGATGGTTGGGTGGCAGGAGGAGCTGGGGGGGTCCCGGTGAGCTGAGCCCCCCATCTCTGCCCCACAGATGAACATGGACTCCAACGAGGTGCTGCCGCGTCACTTCGACGCTGCTGAGAAGTGGCCCGGGATGATCCACGAGCCCCTGGACCAGGGGAACTGCGCCGGCTCCTGGGCCTTCTCCACGGCTGGTGAGGGGCGGCGGGGCGGGGACAGCGGGGACAGGGGCAGAGCCACCTCCCCTTGACCTGCGGGGACAGCGGGGACAGGGGCAGAGCCGCCTCCCCCTGAGCTGCGGGGACAGCGGGGACAGGGCAGAGCCACCTCCCCTTGACCTGCGGGGACAGCGGGGACAGGGATGGAGCCGCCTCCCCCTGAGCTGCGGGGACAGCGGGGACAGGGATGGAACCAGCTGCGGGTACAGGGACGGAACCTGAGCTGCGGGAACAGCGGGAACAGGGGCAGAGCCGCCTCCCCCTGGGGTGCGGGGACAGGGACGGAGCCACGTCCCTCTTAGCTCTGGGGACAGTGGGGACAGCGGGGACAGGGACGGAGCCGCCTCCCCTGAGCCGCGGCTCCTCCCCAGCCGTGGCCTCGGACCGCATCTCCATCCACTCCATGGGCCACATGACCCCCGCGCTGTCCCCCCAAAATCTCCTGTCCTGTGACACCCGAAACCAGCGCGGCTGCAGCGGGGGGCGCCTGGACGGAGCCTGGTGGTACCTGCGCAGGAGGGGGTGAGTGGGGTAATGGGATAATGGGGTGGGATAATGGGATAATGGGGTGGGACAAGCTGAAATGGGAATAGGAGAGAATAAGAGGGGATGGTACAGGATGGGATGGGAATGGGATGGGACTGGAGGGGAGGGCACCAAACAGGATGGAATGGGATAGGATGGGACAGGAAAGTTGTGGGATGGGATGGGATGGGATGGGATGGGATGGGATGGGATGGGGGACAGGGGCTGCTCTGGGATAAAGGGGGTTTGGGGCTCTGGTCACCTGGGGAGAGCCCAAGAGATCCCCGTGCTCATCCTGTGCCTTGGACAGCTGGGGAATGAGGCTGCCAGGGCAGGATGGACAGTGGGGTTTGGGACGGGGATGGACAGTGGGGTTTGGGACAGGGATGGACAGTGGGGTTTGGGATGGGGATGGACAGTGGGGTTTGGGACAGGGATGGAGCCGCTCCTTCCCCTCCTGCATCCCAGGGTGGTGACAGACGAGTGCTACCCGTTCACGAGCCAGCAGAGCCAGCCCGCGGCGCCGCCCTGCATGATGCACAGCCGCTCCACGGGCCGGGGCAAGCGACAGGCGACAGCGCGCTGCCCCAACCCCCGCACCCACTCCAACGAGATCTACCAGTCCACCCCCGCCTACCGCCTCTCCTCCAGCGTGAGCGCCGGGCCCGGGGGCGGAGCGGGAGCCCTCGGGAGCGGGAGGGGGCTTGGCTCGGGCTGCTTTACCTGGGAGAACCGGGGCTGGGAATGCGGCTGGGAAAACCCCGCTGCGGAGCCCGCGGGGAGCGGCTCCTCCCCAGCAGCCGCCTGTGGGTGCTGGAGCTGCTCTGCTGCACCCCCGGGGCTGGGGAGGGCAGTGCCGGGGGTCCCGGCCTCGCTGCCACCCGCTGCCAACCGGTGCCACCCTGTTCTGTGCTTGCAGGAGAAGGAGATCATGAAGGAGCTGCTGGAGAACGGCCCCGTGCAAGGTATGGGGGAGGCAGGGGCACCTCTCTGTGCACCCCAAAAGGTCGGGGGCACAAAGTAGGAGGGGGAAACGGCTCCGTCCGTGCTGGGGGAGCTGAGGTGGCAGCCAGAACCCCCCTGAGCTGCTCCCCCTGCGTGCCCGGGCGGAGCTGCCCCAGTGCCCGTCACGCTGCCCACCCCGGCGGGCACTGGGTTGCTCATTAACTCCTGAGATTTAATCACCGCCTTGGCAGCTGCGTTTGTTTAAACTTTATTTGTGCTTTTTGAAACCTCCTGGGAGTGTTTCTGCATTGCCCCGGGGAGGCTCCAGCTGCTGCCTCCCCTCCCGTTTGGAATGCGATGCCCCCACACCCCTCTGTGCCCACGGGGACACAGATCCCCTTCCCTCGGGACAGGGGCAGTGTCCCCAAACCCTCTGGCCATCCCCACAGCCATCCTGGAGGTGCACGAGGATTTCTTCATGTACAAGAGCGGGATCTATCGGCACACGCCCGTGGCCGAGGGGAAGGGGCCGAAGCACCAGAGGCACGGGACCCACTCGGTGAAAATCACTGGGTAGGTCTGGGGGGCTCACAGGGGGGTGAGCCACCCCTTCCCACCCCTTCCCACCCCATCCCACCCCATCCCACCCCATCCCACCCCATCCCACCCCATCCCACCCCATCCCATCCCACCCCATCCCACCCCATCCCACCCCATCCCACCCCATCCCACCCCATCCCACCCCATCCCATCCCATCCCATCCCATCCCATCCCATCCCATCCCATCCCATCCCATCCCATCCCATCCCATCCCATCCCATCCCATCCCATCCCATCCCATCCCATCCCATCCCATCCCATCCCATCCCCACTCCTTCGTGTTCCACCCCATCCAATTCTCTTCCATTCCCATTTCATCTTGTCCCATATCGTCCTGCCCCATCCTGTCCCTAACCCATCCCATCCCATCTGATTCTGTCCCATTCCCATTTCATCTTGTCCCGTATCTTCCTGCCCCATCCCATCCTGTCCTGTCCCATCCCACTCCCTTCCCATCCCACCCCACAACTTTCCTATCCCATCCTATCCCATTCAGGGTGGCAAAATGTTCCCTTTGGGTGTCCCCGAGCTGGGAAAGGGAGCAGGGGTGGGAATGGTGGCACAAGGGACACGAGTGTGATGCTCAGCACCCTGGAAAAGGGGGGGTCTGGAGGTGCAGACCCCAGGCAGGGGATGGATCTGCCCTGTGCTGTTTCCTTCCTCTTGCTGTGGTTAAAGATTCCTGCCCCTATTCCGGGAGCGGATGTCCCAACCTCGGCCTGGCCCTGGGGAGGTGCTGGGAGCAGGAAATGAGCAGGGTCAGCCCCCCCGTGCCCCCATCCCACCACGGTGCTGGGTGGGGGGACCCCAAAGTCTGGGAGAGCTTGGGGACCCCACAGTCTGGGGGAGCTTGGGGGAGACTCCATGGTCTGGGGGAGCTTGGGGGGACCCCAAAGTCTGGGGGTGATTGGGGACCCCAGAGTTTGGGGGTGCTTGTGGGGGACCCCATGGTCTGGGGGAGCTCGGGGGGACCCCAAAGTCTGGGGGAGCTTGAGGACCTCACGGTCTGGGGGTGCTTGGGGGGACCCCACAGTCTGGGGGTGCTTGGGGCCCCCCCTCACTGTCCTGTCCCTCTGCAGGTGGGGAGAGGAGCAGCTCCCTGATGGCCAGACCCAAAAATACTGGGTGAGTTTGGGGGGGTCGCTCAGCCACGGGGGCGCTGCCATTCCCTGCACCCATGCTTGGCTTTTTTTGGGGGGTGTCACCGCTCTGACCGTGTCCCCTGTCCCCTCTGCAGACGGCGGCCAACTCGTGGGGCACGGCGTGGGGCGAGGGCGGCCACTTTCGCATCGCCCGCGGCGTCAACGAGTGCGAGGTGGAGACTTTCGTGGTGGGGGTTTGGGGCCGCGTCAGCATGGAGGACATGCCCCACAAGTGAGCCCCCCCCGTCCCGATGTCCCCAGCGCGGCCCCGCCCAGCTCACAGCACGCTGGGCTGTCCCCCGTGTCCCCTGGAGGGGGCTGCGTGTCCCCCGTGTCCCCTGGAGGAGGCTGGCGCTGTCCCCTGGAGGGGCTGGCACTGTCCCCTGTGTCCCCTGGAGGGGGCTGGCGCTGTCCCTGTCCCCTGGAGGGGGCTGGCGCTGTCCCCTGGAGGGGCTGGCGCTGTCCCCTGGAGGGGCTGGCGCTGTCCCCCGTGTCCCCTGGAGGGGCTGCGTGTCCCCGTCGTGCTGACACAGCGGCTGGGGGCAGTGGGGCGTGCGAGGGGGGTGCCCCGGGGGCTGCTCCCGTCTCCCATGGGATTTGCCCGCTAATCCCCCCTGCCCCGGGGCTCGGCTGGGCTGCGGTGGTGGCCGGGGGCTCTTCAAAGGCAGCTGCACCCCCCTCCCCAATCCCGGCTGTGGGATTTCCCCCCCTTTTCCCTCCCATATTCCTGCCCTTCCCATCCTGGCCCCAGCAGCTCCCCCCAGCAGGGCAGCGCTGGAGTTTGGGGGTGAAATAACCCCGTGGCGGGGGTCCCCTGAGCCCCCAGGGCTGGGTGTCGCCAGGATGGGGTCCCCACCGTCCCCCCCAGCCCGTCCCTATGGTGCTATGGCCCTGCCACCCCCCTGGGGGACAGCAGGGACAAGGGAGGGCTCAGCCCCGTGCTGTCCCCGTGTCCTGGGGGGGCACAAATGGGGTCCACGCAGCCAGCACAGCCCCCTCCCTCCCAACCCAAGGGCTGTACTTTTAAGACAATTTTTTTTGTATTTATTTTGCTTTTTATTGTTTGTAAATAAAGTTATGGAAGCCTCAGAGGCCAGAGGGTGCACTCAGTGCTGCGAGGGGGACACGTGGCCCCTGTCACCCCCGCGTGGGGGCCCAGCGTGGCCTCGGGAAGGGCTGGGGGGGTGAGATAAGGCCCCGCTCATTGTCCACCTTCCGGCCCCGCCGCTCCGGTCACCGCGGCCAGCGCTGGCCACGCGCGGCCACTCGGGCCACCACGGCCGCCACCTATGTCACCATGGCTGCCACCTATGTCACCACGGCCAGCTGTGCCACCGCACCCAGCTGTGCCTCCACAGCCGGGTATTGCCGCCACAGCCACCGTGCAGCTGGGCGGCCAAATGCCAGCTGCAAGTGCCACCACAGTGAAATGTGCCACCCCAAGTGCCACCACAGTGCCACCACTGTCGCCACAGCTCCCGTGTCCCCGCAGCCACCCCGCGCCCTCCCTGGGGTGGCGCTGGGGCTGTTGTCGCCTGTTCCAAAGGCCCGTTTTGCTGGCGGTCCCTGTCCCGGTCCGCGTCCCCTCCCTCGGTCACCCCCGGGTCCCCCCGCAGGGGACACTCACAGGGTGGAGGGCGGTGCCACCTGGTGGTGGCTGCGTGCAACTGCAGGGATGGGCGCGTATATATTTATATATTTATATATTTATATATTTATATATTTATATATTTATATATTTATATATTTATATATTTATATATTTATATATTTATATATTTTAAAATATGAAAAAATATCTCTATTGTGTATAGATAGAGATACAGATGTGTATAGATATATCTATATCTATATATATATATATATCTATATATCTATATATATAGATATATATCTATATATATACAGGTGGCTGTTTGTGTTCAGACGTGAACACTACCCCTTGTATATCTATATATATATATCAATATATATCTAGATATATGTATCAATATGTCTATATATATACATCTCTCTGTGTGTATATATACCTGTATATTTGTATATATGCAAAAAAACCCACCCTTTATATATTTTTATATGTGTATATACATACATGTAATAACACAGATTTAATATACATAAAATATATAATATATAATGTATTATGTATTATATATTATGTATAACATAGTATATAGTATATAATATATATTATGTATATTATATAAGATATAAAATATAATATATATTATATATCATTTATATTTAATATACTATATACAAAACGTGTGTCTATGTATTTACATATACACATGTAAATATATATAAACACATTCCTTTATATATACTTACATGTGTATATATACATGTAAACAGGTTTTTATATGTTTATGTGTACCTATATATGTACGTGCATATATATATTTTTAAAAGTCTGTATATATATATTTTATGTGAAAATATGCATCTATACACACCTATATATGTATTTATATGTACACCAGTGTATATATACTGTATGTGTGTTTATATGTAAATATATATACATATATATAATGCAGGTATGTATTTTTAAATATATTTATATGTATTTTATATACATTTTACATATATGTATTTTATATATATATAGCACATAAAATATATTAAAAATACATATATGTATGTATAAAATATATAACATACATCTACAAAATAGATATTTATATTTTTATAAATACATGTATACATATAAATATATTTATATGTATTTACAACCCCTCTGCCTCAAGCCCAAGCAGGGCTGAGCTCTGACTCAACAGAAATATTGGAAATGCTCAGGGGAAAATATCCTTGGAATGCTCGGGGATGGTTGGGAACAGCCAGTCCTGCCCGGGGCTGGAAAACACCGAGGTCACAGAAAACACCGAGCCTGGGCTCCTCCTGCTCATCTCAGACCTTTGGACTTTTCATCTCTTGGAGATTCCTCAGGGTAAATTCCAGGCTCATCACTCGGGAAGAAAACTCCAGCATTGATGGGATTTTTCTGTGCCTCTGGAGCCTCCCCCGATTCTTTATTTTCTATATTTGGACATGAAACTCCTAGGAATTGATTTTAGGGAATGGGACGTGTCCCCTGGTGCCACCACAGGGGACAGGAGGCACCTGACGTCCCCTGGAGCCCCCCCTGGACACAGAGACCACAGAGCACTCAGAGCAGAACACATTTTATTCCAAAGCTGGAAAAACTGAGCTCTGAACTTTGTCTGGATTTGGCTTCAGGATTGGCAACAGCGAGGGGACGATCCCATGGGGCTGCAGCAGCACATCCCATTCCAGCAGCCCCTGGAAAAACAGGGATGAGACCCCCAGGAAAGCATCCCCAGGGTGGGATGCGCTCCCAGGGTACTCAGGGAGGGAAGGAAGGAGCTTTGTCCTCACTTTTCCCCTTTTCCTGCTGCTTCCAGACCCAAGGCTCAGCTCTTCCTCCCCGAAACGGGGATGTTCTGCTGCAGGCACCTCGGGATGAAGCTGGAATTTGGGGTTGGCATGGGATCTAAGCTGCTTTGGCCGTCCCAGTTTGGCGTGGGATTCACCCTGACTCCCACAAAACGGACACAAGGAATCCGAGCCAGGAAAAACCCCAGCAGGATTTGGGGTGGATCAAGCCGGAAATTTGGCCCCTGGGGGAGCTCTCAGAGGGGCTCAGCATCATCCAACAGCGAAGACGAGGACGGCTGAAGCTTCTGGAGAGCTCCAGAGTCGCCAGCCTTTGGAGTGGGGACGTCAGAGCATCCGTGTCACCACCATGGCGAGGAAATCCTCGTAGCTGAGGCGGACGTTCCCCACCATGGCCGTGTCCTTCTCCCGGAAGGCGTCGGTGAGGCTCTGCAGCTGCATGCAGATGTGGATGAACCGGTCCAGTTGGACACTGGGATTGGGGGAACGCTGGGCGTACCGGGCCAGCAGCAGCTGGCTGAACTGGGGGCTCAGGTTGTAGCCCATCTGGGAGAAAGCTGGGAGGAAGAAAAACTCGGATTCAACCTTCCCAAATGGAGAGGGAGTGGCTGTGTCGTCCTCCCCCCTGCCCCACACACCCCATCTCCCACTCCCACCACCCTTCCCACACTTCCCACTCAGGGTGTGCATGGGCAGGGCTCTCCAGAGGAATCAAGCCACAAATTCCAGGCATTTTTCCCTTTCACACACACCCAAGAGCTCCTCCCCAAAAACCAGGCTCCAGCCACTCATCGTTGAGGGGGAATTCTGAGCTTCCTGAAGGAACTTTGTGCCCCACCCCTGCTGCAGCTCATCACCTCCTGTCCCCTGAGAAGCTCCTGGTTTATCCCGTAGACAATTCCCAAGGAAACCTCCCAGGACCTCAGAGCCCTCCAGCCTTGCTGCAGGGACCACTCCAGCAGGAATTTCAGTTTCCAGCTGGGAACAGAGCCTGGCAGTGCTTATGGGGGGGGCTTGGAGGGGCCAGGCTGGTGGCTGTGCCCCTCTCCCACCTTGCTGGAGCTCGCTGAAGCTGATGGAGCCGGACTGGTCCCGGTCATACTGCTGGAAGAGGCTCCTCCACTGCTGGATGAAGCGCAGCAGGGCGGAGAAGCCGTAGACATCGATGCGCCCCGACCGCGTCTTGTCAAACATGTCTGGGCAGGGAGGAGGGAGTGGAAAAGCTGCAGAAACTTCCAGGGAGCTCAGGATCCACACCGTGGCTCCCTGGAATCCTGCTCTGATCCCAAAAATCCCCCTGGCCAGGACTGCAATCGTCCGGGACCATTCAAGCCCCAAGGCTGGTAAGAATCGGCATCAAAAGCTGAGGTTGGGGCAAGCTTTGGGTGAATCTCTGCATTTTTTGGGCTTTCCTCCCTTTCCTCCCTGTTTTTCTGGGATCTGGGGCTTGTGCAGAGCTGGGATTTCCTTTCCCAAGCAGGATTTTGGGCCCTTCACCTGTGTCCTGCACCACTGGGAACTGCTTGGTTTGCCCGGCTCCAGCCAGGAACGATACCCAGGGAAAAAGGAGAATTCTGCCAGGATGGGCTTCACCCCAAATCCAACCAAACCAGATGAGAAGAGGGGAAGGAGATCCCAAACTCACTGATCATGAGCAGACAGGTCTCATCGTTGAACGAGGACCAGTTGTTGTTGACCAGAGCCTGTTTCAGCTCCTTGACGGAGATGAACCCGCTGTGATCCGTATCCACCGTCTGGAACCAGGAAAACGCCTCGGGATCCACCCCTGGGGGGGCATTCCCTGCTCGGGGAGAGGCCATCGGAGCTGTCACCTTCCCCTCGCACAGGCCACGGGTGGGGGTGGCTCCCAGGGCCGGGCAGAGCTTCTCCTCCCACGGGATTTACAGCCCGGTAAAATTCCCCGGGAGAACGGGGCAGGAAGGGCTGGGATGGGCACGGAGCAGCTGGAGCCGGGAATGGGCTGGGAACCGGAGCCTGGTGGAGCTCTGGGGTGGACAGGGAGCCACGGTGCTGCCCCACAAAGCCGGCAGCGCCGGGAGATTGGTGTGGGGTGAAAGTTTTAGGGCTGCCTGGCACTTCCTCCCCTTTCTCTTTTTCCTCCTCCTCTTCCTTCTCCTCCCTCTCCTCCTCCTCCTCCTCCAGGATTTCAAAATAATAAACCGGGACACCCAATTTCATCCTTGTGGTGGCTTCTGCTGAGCTGGGGACCCCCTCAACCCCCACCCGGGCACGGGGTGGGGACTCCCCAGCCCCCCGACCCCGCACCGGGCTGGGAACCCCATCTCTCCCCGCCTTGTCCGGGTACCGGAGACCCCCGCACTCACCTCCCGGGGCCGGCCCGCCGTAGGGCCCGGGCTGGGGGCCGCCGTAGGGGCCGCCGTAGGGACCCCCGGGCGGGGGGTGCCCGTAGGGTCCCGGGGGTGGCCCCCCGCCGTAGGGAGCCCCGGGGTAGGGCCCGACCGGGGGGGGCTGTCCTGCGCCGGGGTAGCCCTGGGGAGGGGACAGAGCCGGTGTGAGGCGGGCACTGGGCACCGGGCACCGGGATGGGCGCGGGGACGGAGCTGGTGTCGCTCACCCTGGAGACCCTGCGCGCCTCCCCCGGTCCGACCTCCGGACCAGCCCCCGGTCCGAACCCCGCCCTGGTCACATC